TTTCGGTCATTTTGGGTCAATTTGAATCACTTTCGTCCTATTCTGGACCATTTTTTGCTCATTGTGTAGATTTTTTGGCTTTTAAGCCTTTTCTCAGCAATTTTAAACTATTTTTGGATCATTTTCGGCCTAATTAGTACTATTTTAACCTCATTTTGGACCATTTCATGCCATTTTTAAACATTTTTAGCATGTTTTGGAGCATTTTAAGCCTAATCTGAACAATTTTCGGCTGCTGTTTAGCATATTTCGAATTATGTTTGGTCCATTTTGGGTCAATTTGAATCATTTTCGTCCTATTCTGGACCATTTTTGGACCATTTTCGGCTAATTTCGGACAATTTTCGACAGTTTTGAACCATTTTAAGCCTTTTTTGACTCATTATTGGCTTATTTTAGACAATTTAAAGCCTGTTTTGGACTATTTTAGACTATATTTGGCGTATTTTCAACCTTATTTTGACTATTTCTTGCCTATTTTGGACCTTTTTCGGCTAATTTTGGACATTTTTAGACAGTTTTGAACCATTTCAAGCCTTTTTAGGCCATTTTCAGCTTAAAGGTGGGGGGACAGGAGATTTTATGGGAGATTTTTGTAGCTAGAGTATGCATTTTACCGTGACGGTGTACAACGCTTAATGTCACTCTGCGTACAGCTGTCGTCCTCGCCTTTATGTATGCAATCGGGCGTGCGCTTTCTCTTTGCCCGCGTGGCTCAGTCGGTAGCGGCGCCGCACCCTCAATCCTCGTCCCACACGTTCAACTCCTCGAGAGGCATATTTAAACGAAATTTCGAGAACATTATTTTTTTCATGTCCCCCCACCTTTAATTCGGGTCATTTTTAGCTTATTCTGAGTCATTTTTAGCTTATTTTGGTCGATTTTTGGCTCATTTTGGATATTTTTAGCCTATTTTCGCCTCATTTTAGACCGTTTTCGGCTCATTTTGGGCCATTTTAGAGCCTGTTTCAACCAAAATTGGGGTATTTTCTGGTCAATTTCCGCCTATTTTTTCCGTTATTCTTCGGTTAGTTTCCAGTCACTTTTATACTATTTACAGCCAAATTTCGGCTCTTTCAGCTCATTTTTAGACACATTTTTCAGTCGAAAAACGTCAAATATTGTCTAAAAAATTGGGGGTTTTCTCCGATTTTTAGATCGATTTTGGGCCCGTTTTCAGATTATTTTCAGCTATTTTCAGCCAAAAAAAAAAACTCACTCCGCATCAATATTAGTCGGTAGTGTTCGATGCACAGAGATCATATCCGACGCGTATTGATTGAATGCGTTGTTGAGCATTCCCTTGTCGTAGATGCCTTTTTGTTCGGGTGTTAATTTCTGAAATTTTCAAAATTTTTGAAAAAAATACATTTTTTTCAAATTTCCTACTGTTTTATCAACGATCACAGCTTTCCCAAGCTCTCCCGCTTGACTTGCATCTCCTTTTTTATAGATCGGATCGTTGGGATCGACCATAAACTTGGGTTTTGCCAAATTCCCACCGCCCGTCTCCTCATTTTTGTTCTCCTCGACTGGAACAACAGGTTCCGGCTCGATTGGCGGTCCGAATCCTTGAATTATATCCGATTTTTTGGGCTTTTCCAACTCTTTCGGGTGGAAATTCGCTTGATTTATCCTGTCTGCCAGGTCATTGTTGGTTCCGATCTGAAAATTGGGATTTTATCGATCTTTTTTCCTTAAATTCTAGGCGAAAAATTCGAATTTCCCGCCTACCTGATTGCTATTCCCATTTGTCGATGCGAAGAAAATCAGCGAACAAATCCAAACGACGGGCACCAGAAGCAGCACTTTTAGAATCGCCTTTTTCTTGAATATAATCATCGTTTTTCTGCTCGGCAAAATTGACCCGTATCTGGAAATTGATCGGAAAAGTTGAATTTGTTCAAAAAAATCTATTTTTTAGCTTAAAAAGGGCTTTTTTCCGGCTTTTATCTTCGGAAATTGCCAAATATGGACACGAGTGTTGTCCACGTGGAGTACATGGCCGAGCAGCCTAGCGACCCAAATATGGTGTAGTTCGAGTGGACAAATATGGGAGGGGGTGACGTGGAACCTATTTTCAGACAAAAATATAGCTTTTCTGGCTGAAAATTGGGGTTTTGAATGAATTTTCATGGAATAAAAGAAGAAAAATTCATCTTTCATCGAGTTTAGCGAAAAAATGCTGGAAAAATAATGAAAGATCGAGGTTTAGGACTGGAAATTGAAATTTAAGAAAATTATGGATTTTGAACTAATTTTTGGGAATTTCCGGTTTGCGAAAACAGTTAAAATTTGATGAAAAGGCTAGAAAATTGTAAATTTCTTGGAAAAAATCGGAAAAACAAAATTTTCTGCAAAAGTTTCAAACTTACCACCAATGCTCTTACTGCTCCGTCGCTAGTATTCTTGAATCGATTTTTAGGTTTAGTGTCTGAAAAAAATTAAATTTTCAATCGAAAAATTCAAAAAATTTGGGCAAAAAACAAAAATTTCAAAATTTCGAAAAAAAAAAATTTCAAAAAAAAAAAGTTTTTCCTAAATTTTTATGAGGTTCCAAACTAAAAACGGACCCAAATTTCAATTAATTTCAAATGCAAACTTTTTTCCTAGTCTAACCCTCCGAAAACATCAAAAATCGAATTCACAATTGACGAAAAAAAGTGGGCGGAGCCTCTTCTAAAAATGGGGGAAACGGGGACATATGGGTCATTTTCCACTGCATATTCTATGCTTAACGATAATATTTGAACAGTTAATATTTGAAGAGATGAAAATTTCGGGGAAAACGGGGTGTACTCAGAGAACAGAACCAAATTTCCATTTTTCTCTAATTCTCTCACTCTCTATTTGTTCTAGAACATTGCTCGAGAACTGTAATGTTTAATGAGGGTCTTGGCTTTAATGAGAAATTTGAAAACTTGAAAAAAAGAAAAAAGGGTACGTCCTATAGTACTGATAACAAAAAGAGATGTTTCTCTTATCACCCTTCCTATACAAACACACCTTCTATTCAAACAAAAAGATGCTATTCAATGATCTATTCATACAATATATATGTACATATTTTATATGTAACATTATGATTATTCTAAAAAATATCAGTTTTTGATATCAAAAAATTGGCGAAAAATCCTCCCCACACGTCGCTGGCCGCCACCGACAAGTCGACCCTTCTTATACGACATCCACTCCATCTTCCTCGTGTGCCTTGATAGCTCAGTTGGGAGAGCGTTAGACTGAAGATCTAAAGGTCACCAGTTCGATCCTGGTTCAGGGCAATTTCCTTTTTTGTTTTATGTTTAGGGTCTAAAGAGGTATAAGGGGTGTATTTTTAACTTTTTTAGGAAAAGGAACAAACAATATGCTCAACTAGACCAGTTCCATGCTCAATTGAGCATGACTAATAGGGTTTTGGGGGTTTAAAGGGACATACTAGACTCGGAGGAACCAAAAAAAGTTTGGCAAAAGTGCTCAGTTGTTTGGCACCGGAAATAAAGAATTCAGAATTTTTGAGAATCTAAGAATCTAAGAATCTAAGAATCTAAGAATCTAAGAATCTAAGAATCTAAGAATCTAAGAATCTAAGAATCTAAGAATCTAAGAATCTAAGAATCTAAGAATCTAAGAATCTAAGAATCTAAGAATCTAAGAATCTAAGAATCTAAGAATCTAAGAATCTAAGAATCTAAGAATCTAAGAATCTAAGAATCTAAGAATCTAAGAATCTAAGAATCTAAGAATCTAAGAATCTAAGAATCTAAGAATCTAAGAATCTAAGAATCTAAGAATCGGAAAAAAGCCACATAGAAAAAAGGCATACAAGCCGTATCTTTCTCCGTTCATACAGCCAGCACAATCCAAAAAAATATAAAACGTGTCATCAATTCTTTTTCTCTGCACTCTCTCACTACCTATCCAACGCGGTTTCTGTTGCAGAAACTGCAAGTTATATGAGCGCAAAGAGATTGTATTGTACAAAAATATGTATGGTTAGGACGCAAAGAAGGCGGTCGGTTGCTGCCGGCGACGTCTTCAGCTTTAACCCAATTGATCTCGATTACTGTAGAAGATATCAAAAAGTTATCAACTGATAAAATTTTAATGTTTTACGATAAACACTTTATTAGTTGACAAATTTTTGATACCTTTTACAGGAGCCGAGATAATTAGAGTCAAATTTAGAAATGCTGAAAAAATGCTTATCATAATATCAGTAACATTTTATCAGTACACAACTTTTTGATGTCTGTTCAATGAATCTAGATAAATCAAGTTAAAGTTAGAGCCCCTAACTTAGAGGTGCAAGAACTCTCTAACTTTGACCTCATTTATCTCGGTTACTGTAAGAGATATCAAAAAGTAGTAAACTGATAAAATATTTATTGTTTTATGATAAACATTTTACCAGTTGACTACTTTTTGATATCTTTTGCAGGAACCTAGATAAATGAGCTCAAAGTTTGGGATGGAATTTTTCCAATACATTTTTTTTGAGTTCTGACTCACAATGAAAAGCAATTAATTAAAGACATTCTGAAAGAAAAATCGTTTAAAAAATCTTAAGAATGCAATAAGTCAAAAGAATTCAACCGGAAAATGGAACTTTTTCCCAATTTTTTTTTCTTCAAAATTTTCATATTTTTCAGAAATTTTTGAACCAAAAAAAAGGAAAATTGGCTAGTTCAGGAACTAAAAAAAAGCAGAAAAAAGTTTTGGTTTCTCAAAGAAAGCATATATATATAAAATAAAAACCACATGTTGTGTGCATGTTTGTAGGAGAAAGCACAGCTCTAGCTAACTACGCGGTGCTCAGAATTTCATAAATTTAAATTTCAATGAGAGAACAGAAGAGTAGACAAAAGATCGAATTAATATTGAAATAGGTGACGAATTTTTGAAAATTCCAGCTGAACATATTCGATAAAATACATTTTTTTTTTCGAAAAGAGATTTTGCACCTGGTCTTGGTAGATAAATAAAATAGTAAAGATGGGACATTTTCTGAATTTTTGAGATATCAGAAAATCGAAAACTCCGAAAAAAAAAACCAAAAAAAGTTTTCAGAAATTCTTAAAATCCAGAAGAACTCAGGATATCTAAAAATTCCAAAATTTCAGAAATTATCCGAAAAGTTTAGGATTCCGAAAATTTCAAGAAATTCTGAAATTTTTGAATTCAAATCATTCAGAGTTCAAAAAGTCCCTAATCCAAAGAAATCAGTGGTTCCGGATTCTGCAGAATTTCCATTCGAGACGCCTGAACAGTTAACATCAAAGAGACAGAGAGAGACAGAGAGAGAGAGAGAGAGAGAGAGAGACGCAGAGATAAATAAAAAAGAAATAAATATAAATCGGATTGAAATTCAATGCTTCTTGCTTGCTTGCTTCTTCGGTCAATCAGCCAATTTTCTTCTCTCTCTCTCTCTCTCTCTCTCTCTCTCTCTCTCTCTCTCTCTCTCACTATGTATATTGTATTTAAAGAGAAAGAGAACGAGGAGACTGTTCGTCTCTCGTTTTCTCTAATCCTCTCAAGTTTCCCTTATCTCTCTCTTTCTCTCCCTCACTGAATCGGATAGCAAAGAAGCTTCTCCCTTTTCTCTCTATATTATACACAAACTGTTCCGCGTCCCGCGGAACAGCCATAGAGAATGAATTATGATGAAGATGAAATTGGAAATTGATTTTTTTTTGGAATTTTCTAGAAAAAATTCTAGAAAAAAAGATTCAAAACCCTTCAAGATCTTTAATTTTACATGAAAAGAGGACCCCCATTTTTAAGACCCTACGAAACTATTTCAAAATTTTCAGATTTATCTGAAAATTTCAGAGTAGACTAAACAAAACTGGATCTTCATTTTTGTAGTTGACAACTTTTTTGGAAAACCGACGCCTGAAGAGATATGCCACGTGAAGCAGGCCCATTGCTCTAGGCGCCACTCCCCCCCCCCTTGGTGTGTGGTGTTCTTCCACAGAAGGGGGTGGAGGGGTGTGACGCCTATGGGTCTGTTCCACGTGGCGTATCTCTTTAGGAAGCAGTTTTACAAAAAAATTGCTTACTATAAAAATAAAGCTTTAGTTTTGTTTAGTCTACTCAAAAAATTTTCTGAAAAATCGAAAAAGTTTGAGATGGTTTTTGGGAGCCATGGAAAATGAACATTTTTCTCGCACCGAGGGAGGGGTTCCTCGTGGCGTATCCCTCCAGGCATTGATTTTCCAAAAAAGTTGCCAACTACAAAAATGAAGCTCTAGTTTTGTTTAGTGTACTCTAAAATTTTCAGGTAAATCTGAAAATTTTGAAATAGTTTTGTAGGGGATTGAAAATAGGATAGGCGCTATTTTAGGGCAAAAGAATTTAGAGAGAAAAGAAAAAGAGTGTGAAGAATGAAGAGACGCAGAGAGAATTGTAAACCAATTTCTAAACCACCACAACACGAGTGAAAACAAAAGCGAAACGGAATAGAACGGTTTTGATCCGAATCTCAGTTTTCACAGTTTATGATCTTCTTTCCGGAAGAAGAAAAAAAAAGGAAAAAAGGAAAAGAATGTGTTTAGTCAGCCGAGGGAAAAACGAATTGACCGCAATCTCAGACATGAAATCTGTGTGAAATCAGAGAGAATAAAAAGAAGAAAGGAAATTGAAATCCTTCGGAATCATTCTAAAATCAAGAGGGATATTCCCTGGAGAGCTTAGGGTTTTTGGTTTTTTAATGGTTTTGGACAAGTTGGGAGGCGTTTTTTTGGAAATTCGGGAAATCTAGGAAACTAGGAAACTGGGATTTTGAGAATCTAAGAATCTGAGAATCTAAGATTTCAAGAAACGGAAAATTTTGGAATTCAGAA